AAACTTTTTTCAATGAAAAGATCTCCTGTATATTTTGTTTTTAAAAATGAAAAGTTACAGTTAAATTCTATGTCAGACAAATCCACAAAGATCTTTTATGAGCAGTAATGTGACGATAGTATCATAACAATGTCGACTTTGGCGGAAGCAATAAGATATTTGGGGAAGTCCATTATTTATAAGGTAGTTGAGGAGTCGCTCTCCATGAGTCTCTTCTTAGCAATACCCCAAAGTTTATCCACCGGATATACTATTTTTCAGTTAATAATTAACTCCACTGTAAAAACAAATTTCAAAATTATTATCTATATATAACAACTTTGTGTTCTTGATTTATATATTAATTTTGTAAACTTAATAAATTACCAATATTACCTTTCACTGATTTTCTCTAAGGTCTCACCAAAAGTTATAATATCAAATAAGATAACATATTATCAAATATAAAAATTTTAGGGTAAGACTTTGAAATCTACCCTGCTTGACACATTCAAATGCAATTAATAAACTCCAACTTTAAAGATAGTGAAAATAGAGTTAAAGAACTTTTTCCACCCAAATAATGGCTTAATGACACTTTTTCACCCATAAACTTTTAAAATTCTATTTTACTATCCAAATTTATATCATGGTAGCGAATAGAGAGTGAATTCGATCCAACCTATTAGGACTTTTAAAGAGAGGAGGTCGATGACTCTTTTGGTGGTGGAATGTTGGATTTTGGTGGTTGAGATTGATCAAAATTTGACTTGGGAGGGACAGCTGCGCAAACTCTAATCACTCAATTGCCGATGATTGGCAGGGTTGGGGGAAGTAGGGTTTGGGGGGTTCTGGTGAATGATGATCAAGAAATAGAATGATGGTGGTGTAGAGTCGCAATGATGCTGAAATCGGAAATGGAATATAAATTTGAGTAGTAAATTGATATTTTAAAAGTCTATGGGTAAGAAAGTATCATTAAACCATTATTTAGGGGGGAAAAAGTCCTTTAATCATGAAAATATTTACTAAAAGCTACCCTGTCCTAAGTAGCCGAGTGATTCGATAAATACTCTTGGGTGTATTACTGAAGAGGTTTTAAGTTTGAGTTCCTACTCGGTTGCTAATGGGGGTAGATACTAGAGCTCTTACCGGGCTGATAGTTTTAGCGTCTTGAAAGATTAGTTGAGGTGTACGTAAGCTGACCCGAATACCCTGGTCAATAATATATACATAATGCTAAAAATATTAGTGTGTTATGTTGAATTTGAAAGGAAATTACTTAAAAGGGTTATTATTATTTAAAAAACAAGTACCGTGGTGGACAACATTACGGGGTCAACAAAAGAAATACAAGCTTAAAAGTATATTATCTTAAACTAATTCTCAATTAATGTTAATTAGATCATCATGATTAAATTAATAATAAATTTGAAAGCTAAATCAAATCATGATGGATCCAAATTTAACTCATTAGGCACTTGCAAATTGCAGTCAAAATTATGGGAAGTTGATCAAGTTGGTTAAGGTCTAATCTTTCTAATCTTTAAGTTCATTATTATTTTTAATTAATTTTGTCGAATCACAATTCAATGTACCTGAGAAAAGCTAGGAGGTCAACCTTTCAACATCTCTTATAATGTTTAATTTTATAATCACTATTTAAAGTTAATAAATTATTTCAAACCATAATAATTTTAGGTAAAAATTAGTGGAATATTTAAGCTGCCGAAAGAAGCAATAATCATGCTTAGTGGAGATTAATTTATGAATTAATTTGTTATGATTAAATCTACAATTTCATTGGTGAAGTTCATCCTATAAATTTTATTAAAAACAAAATTATTATATTAATATTTAAAAAATAAATATTTTGGATCCAATGATTATCAAAGGTCGAGACTTAGACCAGAATAATATCATCTCAATTAACTTATAATTTACCTAATCTTGATAAAATTACCTTTTATAATAGAACCAAACAAACTTAGACAACATAATTGTTGCTTTTGCTTCATATATTCCTTCCTCCAATCTCACTGTTATTCTCCGTCTTTTATCACTTAATCATCATTGACAGTAATTATGCTTATAATGAATTAAATTGTGCCAAACTCCTAACCACAAATATTGGCTTTGAATCTTTACCCCACCACCAAAACTAAGGGATTGGTTACGTGATAAATGAAAATTTTATCGGATCTTTTATAATCGTTAGATTGATATTTAGGAAAAAAAAAAAAAAACCAACTCTTAAAGTTTTTGATTGTATCAACGATACAGTCTCGTATTTAGAAGATTTTTTAGTATAAAATTCAAACTCAATCATCCAAATAAAAACGTTAAGGATAGTCGTTTATTAATGTATGATTGTGTTGGTCAATCAGTATTTTTAGGGTAATAATAATATATGATGAAGTTTAAAGGGCAAAAAAGAAACAATAAATAATAAAGGGAAGTTACCATGAAGATGCAAGAGAAGGGAGGGTAGACGCGCTGAAAAGGAGCGTGAGGGGGTAAAGAATGACATGTGAAAGACTGATGCATTAACAGTGTAGGCCACAAAAGGCAAAGATGACAAGAGAGTGGGTGCATTCACCTGTGCAATTTGCAGTTAAAATAATTAAATAAATAAAACAATATAAAATAATGAGCATGATAAGAGACATGGGGACACTCGACAATTTTATCATGTCCTTTTACACTTTGTCCTTATTATATCTTGTCTTCTTTTCACCTTTTCTTCTTCTTTTTATTACTCTAAATTATAATTTTTTATTTATTTACTTTAATCTTTCACTGTTAATTGTTATTTCTTACTTCAAAATTTTCATTACTTAGCTTAAATACACAGATGATTTGGAGATTTATGAGTTTAAATAGTAATTTTATTTGAGTAATACTACACATACATCATTTTCACACAATATTTCTCATACAACATTATGTGGTGAGATATTATTGGTTAATTTAAAGTTAAAATTAAACTTTTACTCAATCACATCTTGCCACATAATGTTGTATGAGAATGATGTATGTGTAGTATTATTTATTTTATTTTCTTAATCACGGGATCCCAACCGTGATTTATAAAATTATATTATATAGCATAGGACAAAATATTTATTATTTTTGTTACATCATAAACTATGATCTCGTCTGATTAACACCCACAAAATTCAATGATGCAATACACTATTTTATTTATTTGTCCCTTTGCATCTGTCTTTCAACAAATAAAAATTCATATAAATCAAGGTCGACTCCAAAAATAATAAGGTTAACTTCAACTTAATATCCTAATTAACAGATATTTAGGGTTTATTTATTTGTAATTTAAAATAATGTTCAAAATTGGAATTCAAAATTTTGAATTATATCTTAATATTTTTAATTAAGTTTGATATAATATTTAAAAACTATAGAAAATTATGAAAATGACTGTTTAATTAGTTTTTGGATTTTACACAAATTGTATTCAAAAACTATTTTTGAAGACAGCTAACTCTTTTTCATCCAACATATTTTTATTGTATTCCTTCTTTTCATAAACAAAAATTGTACTTGAACTTTATATCAATCAAAACCTAAATAATTTCAAAATTTAAATAAACAGTTTGGAAATTGACCCAAAAAATAAACACAAAAGTAAAATACGTAATTTAAATTAAAATAACGATATTTCACAGTTCCCACCGCCATAAACAAAGGGCTCCTATAGGGCGGTATGCGGGTATGCTAATATGACATATAACATGATTCCTATTCAATTAATAAAAAAATAATTTTAATTTATTATTAATTAAATTTAAGATTATTATATATATATATAAATTCTCTCTCTTCTTAAAGTCCCAATATCAGAGCTCAGACCTACTCTTTTTCTCCTTCTCTTTCTCTTTCTTTCTACTCTATACTTCACATTTTTCTCTGCTCTCTTCGTTTTCTGCTTCCATTCCTCTTTTCTTCTTTCATCATTTTGCTTCCTCTCTCCAGAAATGTATGCAGAAACCGGCCTTTTCTTCCCCTACATGCAAAATTTTTCTCAAGATTTTCAGCAACTTGAAGAATATTGTAAATCATATAAACCCAATTCTTCTTTGGTACTCTTCCCCTCTCCCTCTTTGTCTTTTTCTCCATGTCTTCTCTCTTTTAATTTCAAGTGATCTGCATTTCTTTCACTTGTTTTCAACCGGGTTTCACTTGTTTTCAATTTTGTGTTTGTAGTTTTATTGTACTCTATGTTTTCTTTCTTTGAAAATGGAGCAAAATCTTGAAAATTGAATGCAAATTACATTTGGTTATACTTTTTTTACTGAGTTGGTGTTGCAAAGTTTAGTTTTTGATCATCAAGATTCAATTTTTGTTTAGAAATTTGATTGATTCTGTTATTTTCTCTAATTCTTCGAAATATTATAGAATTTTAAAAGTTTGTGGAATATGCTATATGGGTTTTTACAAAGAACGAAGCTTTTTTAATATCCTGACTTTTCTTTGTGCACATTTTCTTGGAAGCCAAACAGGGTATAAACAATCATAATTGAAAAAGAAAAAGAAAAGTGAGAATATAAATTAGAAATGATTTCACAGTCACAAGTTCCGTGTTCTTCAAGGATTCTTCCGTTCTTTTATAACTTTTTGAGGTGCAGTATTAGTTGGTTTTTAGCTTTTTTACAGCACTTTGAAAAGCAAAACCTTTTGTTTTTGTATTAATTTTTAATTTTTTTTTATGAGACTAAAGGAAGACAGAAGTTCATTTCTGCCTTTATTATTATTCCAATTTTATTATTATTTAGTTTTGTTTTGGAAAGTGATTTTGTGAAAGTTGAAGAATTGCAAATTGCCATGAGAAGTAATGTTAGATGTTTACTTTAGGTAAATTAGGTAAAAGTGAATTGTATCCTCATTGAGATTAAGTTAACTAAACTCCTTTTTTTTTTTTGTTCTTTTTGGTGGTTTGATTATAATGGAAATTTCTTGTTGAAATAGAATTTGTCATACGGAAATATTTGACAGAAAAGATTTTAGTTTTATTATTATTTTTAAATGATATTTTAGTTTGGTCAAGTTAAAGGGATGCTGTGCTTTTGAAGTTGGATTGAATTGCTTTGGTAAAAGTATGAATGTTGAAGTAGCAGACTATCTGATTAGGGTCTAAAAAGTTGATAAAATAGATTACAAAAACTGCCAATACCTCTTATGGTTCATTTATGTACATTGATGCATGTCCGTCTGGTGGCGTGGGGACTAGATGATCGTCGTGTAAAAAATTATGATGGTAATTGTAGATTTTTGTTCTTGAACTTGTGGATTGAGTGTGTCTATAATACATTTGATGTGGTTAATTTCATTCTTAAATTTGTTATCCATCTTAGATTTCAGAAGACAGTTATGAGATGGTATTGGGGCATTCGAAATGAGGTGTTTTCGTGATTGGTCAATTCAGCATTGGCTTGATTTGTGATTATTAGGAGTAGCGGTTTAATTTACAGTTTCCGATTCTTCTTAAAGTTTTGTACACGATAATTTCAGCATCCTTAATTGTGACTAATGTCATTGGTAAAGTGTTCTAATGCAGAGCAGCTTCATGTGGCATCTCCTGCAATAATTACTGATTTTTAATTTTGTGTTCTTGTGTAGAGCAACAATGTCAAGATCCCCACCATGTTAGACTTTGACCTGGGAGACGAAGGGGATTTATTCAAAGCTCCAGAGCCAATCATGGAAGAACCACTTGGGGAGCTAGATCCTGTGACATCAGCCATTTCAATGATCTCTTGTGGTGAAGATGTCATCGCCTCCCAAGGACTCAAGGTTGCAAATATTGACTCAATTCACCATGAACAGCTTTTGAGTGAGGTTTTCTCTGAGTGGGAGAAGGATCTTGTGGACAAAGGAGTGATAGATGCACCATTTTCTGAGGTCCTTGATGTCAAAATTCCTGTTATGAGGACTGATGAAAACCAAATTCAAGAAAGCAAGTTGCTTCCTGATATACCATTTCAGAAAAGTGTGAGCTCTGGAAGCTTAACCTCAATGGAATGGGTGCGTGGGACTATGATGAAACCAAGTTTTCTGGAGATTCCGGGTATGGATTTTGGATCTGTTTATGGCATGCGGAGAGCATTCAGTGAAGGAGACATAAAGGTCAGACTTAATTTTTGCAATGTTTTTAACCTTTTCTCTTCCCCGTATGTGCTTCTATAATTTTACTCTACATGTTTGGGCAGTGGGTTTCCTAAAGCATTTGCATTTTTTGGATTTATTTTTCTCCATTTCTTTAAGTCACCTTAGATGGGGTAGATGGGGAGGGTCTTTTTGCGAGACTTACTTTTCAAATGATTGATATCAAGGTTGTGCACTTAGTTCTTTGAGTGAACAATGGTTGACGGTTTATTTTTCTATAAACATTGTAGTATATTGATCATGTCTCCAAAGTAACGACTAATCCAGTTAGACTTTAGCAATTTAAAGCCTCTACCTATGAGTTACTTGAAAGCCAACGCTGAATATATCCTGTAGTCCACGGTTGTGGTGTGTCCGTGTATCATAAGAAGATGAAAATACCACTGGATAGACCCTTCTGTTTAATAGGTTTTTTAATCTTTCTCCCCATGGACAGAGTTGGGTGGGTTAAATCTTTTTCCTCTATAAATTCTAGACCACGTATAGGCAATTACTCCTTATTAGAGGTCTTGCCGTGGGCAACATGGCTCATTTGTTAGCATCTTCGTTTTCTCCTTGCTCATACTTGTGGCATGACCCACCGAGTATTAGCTTTGCATAGTAGTCTATGGACTGAGAAATGTTTAGATGTTTCTGGTCATTTCCACAGGATGGGGCTGGGTCATTGATACTGAGTTTTTATGACAGACTCTTGGTAATGACAATATGAGCTTCATCCACTCCCCTCACGAACAGCCTGTAATGATCACCACCTGCCCTACTGAGGACCGCAGGGAAAAGCTTTCCAGATACAGAAATAAAAAGACAAAGAGGAACTTTGGCAGAAGAATCAAGGTAAGATTGATTAGTAATACTTATGCTTTTTGCTTTTTCCATAGATTATTGTTGTTATGGCAAAAACAAACTACAAACCCATTCAATTCTATGCGAACTTTTAGCATGTGTATGCACATGTCTATTCTTAACTTAGCAACATAAATTTGCGTTGCTTCTGGCAACGGACTCTATGGAAGACTCATTACTAAAGCTTTTTACATGTCTTTGTTCAGTATGCTTGCAGGAAGGCTCTTGCAGACAGTCAACCAAGAATTCGTGGACGTTTTGCAAAGACAGAAGAACCAGACATGTCCAGGAGGCAATAACTCATAACTAATTCGGTAAGAAGAAGAATAGGAATGAATAGCTAAGTTTGATGAAGTGCAATGCAATGAATGAGTAGTAGTGAAGCCTGCAAAGAATTAGTGGACAGCCTAAATAAACAAGCACCCCCCTCCCACTCCTGCAGAAGTAGTCGATCTCTTATTTTCTGTAATAACCTACTAAGTAAAACGGCGATAGGATTGTATATAAGGTTTGTTGAATAAAATGAAGCAAGAATTGTACTTGTTCATATATATGTTTAACGAAATGGCAATGCTTCCACGGATAGATAGATTCAATCTGTTTATATTGCTGCAAAATGGCTGATCGGCTGATTATTATGAATCAAACAAAAGTACTTTAGTCAAGTACATGAATGCAGCACAATTTGTGAAACAAATCTTCATGAATTTGTTTTCCAATTGAATGCAAGCTTTATTTTCCGGATGTGACATAATTACATAGTCATTATCACAAAATCTTTGAAATAAGAGAGCCAACCCAATTTCACTTGGTTTTCTCTGTAATCGACACCACCTACAAAATGAATCATTTTGCCGACTGTTTCAAAGCTTCATATTTAATGACTACATAATTTAGGCACTTGGTTAACTCCATGGAGTCAATACTAACTACCAAATAATGTTTTAAGATGAGTAATCCAGAATAGTGAGTGGTTCTACTGGCTCTTATTTCAAGCTAAGCAGCTCTACTTCTTTATTTACAAATTAAAACTAAATTTTATTCTTAACACCACTAAATCTCACATATTTATAAAAATTATTCTATTTTTTCTTTGAAAATAATAAAAAAATTATTTCCAAAACACATTAAAAAAAAAAAATCCTGAAAAAAGAAAAAACAACCCATGACATATTACAACCAAGCAAATACTCACACGTAATATAAAATAACATAAAACAATATTCTGCATCTGTTAATATAAAATTTCAGCTATTTCATTCCAACGGTTTTTTTATTATTATGTAATTTAAATTGAGAAAAATTCCATCTATAAGGCTTTAATTTTGCTGGGCTGTAATACAAAGTAGCCCAGTTTCATCTATAAGGCTTCCGCCTCGCTTCAGTTTTAGTTCTTGTACTGCTTAACCAAGAGAACCACTTTTTGACTTACAAAATCAAATACTTCATATAATGGTAATACAATTTACGGCACAAATCTTGATCTGATTACGTTCAATCAAAAATTATTAGTACTATTAGACACATCATATGATTAGTTATCCTCTTTCTATAAAAGCTTTCTTGATGATATTGAGAGATTCATCAATATCCTCGCAAAGTTGGTGAGGATTCGGAATCACATTTGGGTCAACAGCTACAACAACGATCATCTTATTCACATAGCTTTGGAAATGGATTGTCAATGCCTGCAAACCGTCAATCTAATATTACTGATCTTGCAGGTTTGACGGGCGCCAACAAAATGAAATCGTGAACCACCCATCTATTTTGTATTATCAAGAGTATTTACCTGCGGATGTCCATAACACTTGGAGCAATATAAGGATTGGGGTGGCCATAAAAGCTAATTTCCTCTGAGGGCCACCCACATTTGAGAAGCCATTGTAGTGTTTGAAAGAACTCTCACCGCCGTAGCAGCAGCCACCTATTTTAAGCATTTAAAATTAGTTCAATGCTTAAAGTAGTTTAATTTAATTTCGGATGAACATGTTTGATTATATCCATACCCTGTAACCAAATGCCCTGTACTAACTGTCAGTGAAATGTGCATAGAGCTTCAAGAGAGGCTTCTTTCTATCGATTGTGCTTTAGCTCCACGAACATACTCTATGGGTCATTTTGCAAACCTATTTTGAAGGGAAGAAGAACATATCCGATCCTATTTCCCCACCCGCCCTTGGATCCCTTCTCCATCATATCACGCCAATGCCTGTTTTAGAAAAAAAAAAAATTTATGATAAAAATAAGTTCATAAAACACAGATTAATATTAATACTTTAGATAAACTAGAGGTTATTTTTATTTATTTTTTCTGAAGTTTCGCTAAATACCTATAACCTAGCATATATTTAGAATGGCATGGGATAATTTTTTCTTTATTATTAGTATTAACTGATTTTGATTAGAAATATTATCATAACAAGAGAGATAATTCACCTGGATACCCTTTGGTGGTTGACAAGAACAGATGCCCTAAGGCGGATGTTTTTTGGAAGATTACTTGACTGTGTTCTCCATCATTTCAGCTGCTGAGGGAGAAACTCGTTAAGTATTAATTAATACATCTAAGTTTTGGATAGTTTACTTGGGATTTTAGTGTAAATACAGTATGGTCAATTATTTTAATAATTATATATATGATTGAAAAAAAAAAAAAGATATGAGGGTTTGAAAGAGAACTGACAGTTGATCCGATGAGATACCGCGAGAGAGCAGCTTGTGTAACTCCCATATACATCGTTGATGGTCTAATAATAATTAACTCACCCACATCAAACAACAAGAACAGATAATTATAACAATTTAATGATACAAAGCGCAAGGAAATTAAGAATAGAACAATAAAAGGGGATGAGCTCGCTGCCAATACTCTGGATTGTCTGATCATTTCAGGCATCTATGACAATCAATTTTCATGGTCATAAATTTTCGATGGTGAAGCTAGCTTTAATATGGCACTTAAAGCACAAATCAACATAATAATGTGCGCCGTTAAGAAGGTACACATTAAGATCATAACAACAAAAAATTGATTATATTAATGCTTAAAAGTATTTTTTTTCTTTTTATTATATAATACTTCGAAATAATAAATTTTATCTGGTTTTAACGTTAAAGGGAATAGTAAGATACCATGTTCATTGCATTCTTGACAACTTAATGTCATCCAAATTCAATTTTCTGTAACAAACAGCTTGGAGCATTCTCATCTCCAGGACCACCTTTCAGAGATTCCTTGTATCTTCCAAAAATAACGTTGTTGCTGAAAACATAATCAAATCCACGACGCTATTCCAAATTAACATTATTCCTGACCATATTGCCAAAAACAACCACCAATCTCCCGTTCAGAGCACCTGAACCTTCATTTTTCTGCACTGGAACACTTGGCAACGCTTCTGGGTCAGAGGTTTTTCTGGTGCATGCAAGCAGAAGAGAAATGAGAGATCTCCATCTCCAATTGAGTGGTGAATCCGAAACACTCCTATGGCTTCTGCCTCCGAGGTTTTAACATTCAGGATGTGAAGTTCCCATAAGGGTTTTGAGAGATCCAGTTGGTGTGTGTTTATATGGGAGATGTAGTCTTCAACAAATTGTTCAGGATTTTCCATTTCTGATCTATATCCGAACAATAACATGTTTTTTCGACATTTACTTTTGTTTGACTCCATTTCATTTTCCTTCCTTCGGTGACCTTTTTTTTTTCAAACATAGAAATAAAAACTTAATGATAGAAAAAAAATATTCTAAAAAAAATAAAACTCAGACTCTACTCAAATTGCTAAAGAAATTAAAAACAGACTATTCTAGTCTGAACGTTTTTATGGACATATATATGGTACACGGTAATTCTCTACTCAGAGTCGAGGGCGTCACCAGAGCGTCTTGATATATTTTGTTTTGTAGGATGATTCATATACACCATTAGATCTGAATAGTATATATTTTCAGCCTAATAAGATAAATTTAATAGTTTACGAACATGATTGACATAATAATATATTGAATGAAATAAATGAAGCAACAAATTTATTTGATCGATAGAATTTTACAGTGAATGAGATCAAATAATCAAGATCAGCACAGAAGTGCAAAAGTAGATAACATTAAACTAATAATAAAAAGAGAAGAAATCAAAAATAGGTAAATATCTTTTCAGAACAAATAATTATTTGTAATACATATAATAATTAATATCTGCCGAAAATCTCTAGAGAATCCTAGTATTCATATAATAGGATCGTTTAAACATTAATTTTATAATGTTTATTCATAATTTGAAAGTCAAACATAGAATAAAAGAACTTGTGAATGGTTTATTCAAATTGTTACGTAACCAATAAAAAACTAACAAAGAAGAAAACTCACCGCTTGCTGGAGAAACGAGGATGTTTGATCAAAGTCTTCTTCAATCCTTCTTGTAACACTTGGATTAACTCTAGTTTTGCACCCAACAATCGCGATGATGTAGCAGTTGAACTCGGCGCATGGAACAATTGAGCTGCCGGACTCAAAGGTACTTCAGCTTTTAGTTCACCATTTTCTTCAGGAAATTAAGCTATACGATAATCGATGCCTAGCTAGAAACTTGATATCTTCTTGTTCTCTCTCCTCTCTGTTGCTCTCTCTTTCATTGTGGCGTATTTATCAGCTCTTTCATTCATATAGGCATGCAGATGAGCTGGGATTGTCAGAACTCCGGGATTTGTATTTTAATTAAATAATCAATGGCGGAAGCAGGATAGACGAGAGTGTCAGTACCCTTCCTAAAAGTTTTAATATAATGTAAATAAATTGTTATAATTATATCCTAATATTTTTGTGAAGCCGGTGATGATAGTCAAAGTTGAAGGCAGAGGCCTTTTACAGAAGATGGTTGAAAAGTTTTCTTGGTGTTCGCATTCTTGGCAAAATTTCAAAGCAAAGTGATTGAAAACAATTAATATTAAGGTAGATCTTGAGATTTTTGGAAGAAGTAAATCTCGTAAAATAAAAAAAGTCAATGGCTAAGGCTAGCTAATAGCACTGATAAATATATATAAAAATTAATTTCTCCGCAACAATAAAAGGGAGAAGGAATTTTCCCACCCAAGTTTAACAAAACAACACTTTCCCACCCATCAAGTTTCAAACAACACTTTTCCACCTATGTTAACATCCGTCCGTTAAGTTTAACTGAAGAAGGATAAAATAGTAATTTAAAAAAACTGTTGAAGGTAATTATGTCATTTTACTAAACTAATTCAATCCCATTTACTTTCTTCCCCACCCCATCACATCGCCCCAAACTCCACCTCACCTCACCTGACCTTCTTCCTCTCTATCACAACTCATGCCCACTCTCAAGGAAGCTCTTCACATGGCTGCACCTGATTTCCACCAAATCTTGAAAAAACTCAACCTTGATTTGGTCATTTATGATTT